CTCTATATTATTATTAGCAATGAAATAAATTTTTTTTGTTGTAAATTAATTGTTTAAAAGTCTTTTCGTGTTCATTAAAAATTTATGTATGAGTGAAAATTGTTGCTATGGTATAGCACTACAGCAATAACTTTAAAGATATAAATAAATAATTGCAAACGGTTAAACGTTATACATATACATACATCAACAAAATAGAAAATGCAAAGGGTGTTTCTTTTAGAAATGTGGTTTTCAAAAAGGAATAAAACGCATAAAGTTCAACAATATGGTCAAAAATTTAGCTTCATTATGAAGATAAGGGCTCGCCGTTAGGATTTTAATATAATTTCGGGCGTGGTTGGCTTGAATAAACTCCAGACAAGCAGCGATTGATCATGCGCTCAACAGTTTTCTACAGTGAATAGATTGTTTCACCATTTGACTGTAACATTATGACCAGCTTAAATTTTGAAGATATATCGACTAATGATTCCCATTGCTTCCATAGGGCCCACCAAATAGTGAATTTGGAGAACTCGTCGTCTCAAAAACGGCTTATGAATTATCATCCCTCTATATGCGATAATATTACTTATTCACGTTCAACTATAAAACCAAAAATGGGCAATTTTTTTGTGAAATTCGGAATCGATAGTCATCTCGTATTGCGTCCATTCACCGAACGTCCGACACGAGTCAGATTTTGTAAGCCCACAAACCAAGATCCTTCCGCGAAATCTTGCATAAAGCAGATGGGCACAGCTCCAAATGTTGCGCGGATGCCGAATGTACTCATTTTTGTCTTCATCGATACTCTGCTCCACATCAGCAGTGACGTACTCGGTGCACTCTGATTACGCGTATTATTTACTAAGGTAAACGTATTTCGTAAACGATCTATGGTTGCTTAAATTACCAACTGTACTCAGCGATAATGTCGATCGAATATTGAACTCAGCTCGTGATGCCTAATGCGAACCGAACCAAATTTGCGCAATTTGTAAACGTAGTTTCGTAGAGAGTAAGTCTGTTCATTGTGAAATGGCAATCCAAACTGAGTATAATTCAGTTTTCAAAAATATCAACTCCGAGAAAAGTATCCCTTCATTGAAAACCACACGTCTAAAAAGGCATTCCTTACATGAATGCATAATATAAAACATTGGCTACCTTGAAAAGAAAAATTTATTAGTCCACAGTTATGCTAAAAATTGCTAATACATTTTGTTATTTAACTAAAATTTTTTTTTTTTTAAGTGAACTTTTCTTTAAATTTTGTCTCCTGTGATTTATTATTTTTTTTTTAATTTAAACATTTTTAGTTATTGGCATAATTAAATATGCATACAAACATTATACCATTTTTCGGTTATGTATACATAAACACATACATGCTTAGAGTACATACCATTATATAATCGTATCACACATAATATATGTCGCCATTATAGCATTTTGTTATCAAAATTTTATTTCAAATAGTCGCAGAAATTTCGTACATAACCATTTTTTCAGCCTTCTATTTTAAGGACAAAATGTTTTGATTCTACTTTCTCCGCCTTGGCACATCAATATCAAGACTACTTTATTGAAATAATAAAGAAGAGATTATTTTGAAAATGTTTGTCCTAACTGAAGGTTATTTATTACAGCTCTGATAGTTAGGCGCGGATATACTCTCAAAAAGAAATTAACCTCCAATTCTTCATGTATTTCATCTCAAATACCTGTGCAAAATTTCATCAAGATCGGTTGAACAGTTTTCGAGAACTTTTAACAACCGAATTTCAAATCACAGTTGCGAGAAAAGCGCGTTTAAAGTTTAAAGCACAGAATCCACTTACCTCTGAGTGCGCAAGTTTTATTCGGATCGACTAGGAAATTTTGAATAATGTAACCCCTTAAATGTTCTATAATATCATATAAACATAAAATTTATAAATATATTCATATGTACTACTTATACGATATGTACCTTTCTGAGCAATGAACCCGAGATTTTCTGAGTTAGATAAATTCTATCTAACGAGTGGGTGGAAATACGGAGGTTGAAGATCTGATCTCAAGCGGCCGCAGCTAAGTCACTTGATCAGGCTCAGTGTGCCCACCGAGTCAAAGAAAACTGTTCTTTCTATATGTCGCAAAAAATAAATGTGCGATTAAGAATATTCATAATTTATGGAATATGGCATGAACTGTTGCGACCACTTAGCATACAATGGAACCTATGGAGATTCATACGTGATACTTTTTTAAAGTTTAAAAGCAACCAGACCTTTTTATAGAAGTTCTTGAGAGTTAAAAAATTTTAGGGAGATTTTATTTACATAATTGTTTTTAATTTAAGTTCGTAGTATTATTGTGGTTTCTTACATATGTATGTATATTTCGTATATTTGGTGTCGTGTTTTGCATTTATTTTCCAATCAACTCATAGATATAGATCTATATATATACATACATAAAGTTTAACATTAGAAGTATCTAGTAAATGTTGTTGTTAAATTCTACCAGAATTATTGTACTTATTTTCATCTTTTACTACATAAAATTGTATATATATATATTTTTATTCTTTTTATTTTGCTCATTCAAGATGAGTATCGTCTATCATTTCAAAATGATCTGCTTCAGAATGTGAGAAAACCAAAGAGAGGACCCTTGCAACATGCAACAAATAAAAATTTAATTAATTATCTCATTTTTTACTTTTTTTAACTTTTATTTCTTTTAAACTTAAGCTATTTTAATTTATTTTCAATTTAAGTATATCTTATACAATATATTTTTAGTTTTTTCTTATGATTTTACTAAAATTTTTGTTAATGCACATGGTGAAGTTATATTAAAGTCAAATGGCTAAAACTTATTAGTTTTTTTTGTGGTAACTCTGTTCAAGTTGCACATGAAGATTGGAATTTTTACTTAAATAAAATATCAGTGAAATTCATACGAAAATTCAACGAAAAAATTAAAGTGGGAGCACTTTCAGATATTAATTTTTAAATAGAAAACCATTGAAGCAAAATAAATTTTCCTTAAACTGAAGACTAGTATTAGCAAGCGTTTTGTGAATTTTAAAGGTGCTTTTTTATATGTTTGTTTATGAATTGGTTTGCAATTAGGCAATATTTTTTCGAGTTTTCTGACAGCTGTCACTAGATTTAAACTCAGTTTAGTTTGCCATTCCATAATGAACAGACTTACTCCGGAACAACGTTAGTCAATCATTCAAATTTATTACCAAAATAATGGTTTGGTTCCAGCGACTCATTGCGCTCAGCGTTTAATGTTCGATCGATAAAACCGTTAAGCAGAGGCAGTAATTCAAGTAACCAATGGTATCCAGCCACATTTTCTTAGTCCTCAACGATGCCATGCAACAAAGACGCTATTACTGCAGTGGAATAGTGTATCAAAGAAGATCAGAATGATTTCATACCTCATTGAGTAGAATCGTTGACACACTTCATTCAAGACTCTGAAAAGGATCTTGGAACTCGTGCAAGAATTCGAGCCGCATGACTTCCAGTGGTTTTGCACTTTCGGTGAATGGGCTAAAAACGATTTTCATAAGAAATTTTGCTCGGCGATGAATATCACTTTTGGTTGAATGGGTGAGTTATGAGCGATGATAATCCAAAAGCCATTGTTGAGACGCCGCTACATCCTCAAAAAGGTAATATTGGGTGGGATGCATGAGCAAAGAGAGTCATTGGTCTATATTTCTTCATAATGTTACAGTCAATGGGGAATGCTATAGAGCAATGATTAACGAACACGCTCTTGGCTGGAATTCCTGACGAGTCAGCTGCGGCGATCACTTGACCGAAATCATTCATCAAACATAATGATCAAACCCTTATTTTTGTAAAAAAGCTTCTCGAGAAATACAAAAAACCAAACTTTGAATTCTGATAGCCAACACCTGTGTTGGAAATTAAAATAACTTAGTTTTGCCTCTGTTGCTGCCATAATTATGATGATACAATGAGATAAAATAATTTTATTCTCAATTCGCCGTGTGCATTGATCATTATTATATATATGTATATTCAAACATTTTTCTTTAGGTTTATAAAAACTTTTACGAACCGTTTTTAGTTGTGCAGTAGAGATGAAGATTAATATTTTTGATTTGCATCTGCTTTCTAAAGCAAATGTAAATTAAATAAAAATAATTCGTAATTAATGAATTTCCAGTGCTCGCTACAAATATATATTTTGCAAAATTAATTCAGTCGTATTCAGTCGTTTGGGATATTTGCGCTGATGAATTAAATTGTGATTTTTTTTCAAAAAGGAAATAAAATAATATAGCGGCTTTTATGTTAATCTTTTTTGCTGTGCACAACATTAATTTCTGTTGAATTTTTTTAAATCAATATGTAGTTTTTTTTTTAATTTTACAATAAATACTAATGATTTTAGTTTAATTTTGGGTGCGAGCAAATTTGATATTATTGGTATATTATTCGATCTTTTTTTGCAATTTTATGTCTACCATAACCTCAACAAGCGTAAGACCATGTGCTTTTCACGAAGACTTGTTCAACCTTCTCCTTATATAATTAATAACTGTAGTCTAGAGCAAGTCTTCAATTTTATAGTTACATACATTACATACCTATTAAATATATTAAATCGTAATAAATGTTAATATTTCTTTAAGTATGCAAAAAATATCTTGCTTGCAATTTGCTCGAACCCAAAAATCCTCTTCACCCAATTACAACATATCATTATATACGTATTAGTTATTACTTAACTATTTTCATTTTATTTTTTTAACATTTTTATCTCTAAAGTAGTAAATTTCTTTCAAAACTTACCAAATAACTATCTGCCACAATGAGTTTAATAACATAGTGTATGTGTGCTTCTTTACTAACACCTTTCTACTTTGGCATATTGATATTATTTCCTTGTTTTACTCGTATCTATGCAAAAATACTGAAATTAGTGTGAAAAAATGTGCATTAATCGCTCCACTTTGTTGTGGTTCTCTAAAAAATTATGTCCCCCAGACTTCTGCAAGGGCCGTGAAACGTTACAAAATCTCTGCGATCAAATACCGGGTGATGCTTTGCTATATTCGCTATTTCGCGAAAGTGCCGAGCCGGTCAAGTGTCCGCTGAAAGGTGAGTATTGTAAAATGAAATTTATTATTATTATTATTATTTTTTTTTTCAATAAAAATACCGCATAATTATTATTTCATTTAAATTTATTTCAAGGACCCTTCGTCTTCACATACAACCGTGGTCACGGTGAGTGTAAGAGCCCTGTTTCGAATATTGAAAGCTGTACCGAAGATAGTCGGCTCTTGCTGAGTTTTCAAGCTTGCCCCGATGTGCAAGGCACCGAGAGTACAGGTAGGCTTATTAAATAAAATATACGACTATGTATTTAGTAATATATTATTACACATTTCCAATACGTTATATTTGTTAACTATAAAACGATTTGATCTAAATGACTGTCGGATCAATACACAGTCTAAAGTACTGATCGTAGATGTTTGAAACTTGGGGGATGTCTTCTGCATATGACGTAGGCATCCAATAAGAAAGGGGTTTCCGGGATGTGGTCTTGAGACCGATCTATTCCAAAAAATCTAACATAATTGTAACATGATGCAAAGCCAGTTTTTTGACTAAATTTTATTTGAAAAAATTTACATCTACCTTGTGATTTACATGAAATTGTGGTCAGTTAACTTTGGACCTAAATTAATATGACGAACATATTTTCTTCAGGAAAGTGAGCTTGGTGTCGTTCTATTCGAAAAAAATGTATTTACGGTTCGATTTCCATTGCCATTACCATTGCGAACTTTTTTCTTGCCGGAAGTGGAAATGGGTTTTGCTTAATATTATTTTTGGGAGATTTGTTGGTGGCTCATTTCCAGCGTGAATATGTGGAAAAATGGAATTGAACAAAGGAGTGATCTAATCCAAAATATCGTAATTTTACTTCGATTCACTTAATATTTGGAACATACACGTAGATAGGTCTTTGCCTGAGTTAACACACACATTTTTTTTCTATCCGGTTTGTGACTCTGTAACCTATTTGTTTTAGGATAATAGTTTATGCGGACGTAGTCCGTTATAGTTATTTATATAAAATCACTACTGCTAAGTGCACTGCTAAGAATATAAATTATCACTTTGTACTAAGAAATGTTAAGAACTTTTAAAATTTCTTAAAATAAAAAAATAATAATTTACCATTCAACAGTGGAAGAACTAACTTGCTTGGCCACTTGGAAAGACGGCAATTCAAGATATCTCGTCGGTTTGGTTTCCCATCATCACGCAATCTCGAATGAAGAACGTTACCGCTGTTTTGTCTATGAGAAAATCTCGCCGTTAATGGGTAAGTGCATCATTATTAAATAGAAAAGAGAGATTACTCGTGACACTCAAATGGTGGAGAAGGGTTAAGATGACTCCACGAAGCCCTTCAGATTTCTCGAGTTATATAAGATTGGAATATTTTAACATTTTATTCTTATGCATTTATACTTGAGAATATTTTCAATTCATCTATAAAATGTTGTCTAGGGCTTCAATAGGGTCAATACAAAAATATTTATGTTTGTTAAATGAAATTAAAATTTTTTATTTCAGGTGGACCCAGCATTGTTAGCGCAAAGGATGCTGAATACAAACTGGCACAGTCCGGCGATGCAACATGTAATGGACTCGACAGTGCTGAGGTGAGGATAGAAGTCTTATAAATAGCATTGTATTACAAATAACAGATAAAATAACAAAATAATTAAATATGAACTAAGTTAAAGAATAAAATAAAAAAAAAAAATAAAAAATGATATAAAATAAAATTTATATATGGGATAATAAATAAAAATTATAAACAAATAATCATGCCCTTATTTTTTAATTTCCCTTAGGTTGGCTCACGTATTATGTCACTGAGAAAACCGCCCGTAACTGAACGTTGCGACTTTCCGGCATGGTTTAAGGGACCGAGGCATTGGCATGTTCTAATGGGTAATGCTGTTTACAATTATCATCCCAAGTAAGTATCTTTCTCAGATATAGCTTATAATATTTACAATTCATCTATAAGACGTAGTAAATAAGTGGGCTAGGACAATACATATGTTTCTTTGATAAAGAAATTATGCGAAGATTTTCGATAAATATGGTTTGATGTTAAGCATCAAAATAAGCAAAGTTTATGAATTATATTTTTAAGACTATGGACATATGTCTACAAAAACATATGTAGGAGTATATATAACATTTTATTATATTTTTTTTTTTTTTTTGCAGCGATGGTTCTGTACATATTATTAAGCCGAATGGTTTCATGGAGACAAGAGCGTTGTGTGAACAGATTAATAAGCAAACAGCCACTGAAATGATGGCTGTTGTGCACTATACAACTGGCTGGTGAGTTTACTTTATTTAATAACACTAATTCATGTGATTTAAATGAAAAACTACTCACATTTTGTTATAATAGTCAATCGGGCTTTATGTGCATGATGTTCTATCGTCGCGATACGCATGTCATTGAAATACAGACAGGCAAGCAGGCTTCCCGGTTAGAGGATGCATGTGCACCAGATCATTTCGATGTCAATCGCATGCCATACATTACATTGCTTGGTAAGTAATAATTGTATTAAATTATATAATATATATATGTATAATAGGCGCTAGGCAACTGCTGAAGCGATTTTCGGTCGGAATAACTTAATAAATTTAACAAAGACAAATTGTTTTTCTTAATTTTAAATAACATTTTTCTCCGCTTAAATTTCTAGCAAGTAATCCAGATCCACAAATCTGCCCGATGGAGGGACTTTATAACTTGCGCGGCGCTATTGGTCCACCTTATTTAACTACAAGACACAAGCGTAATCACAACAATAAAATGCATTTAACACATGGTCATCATCATGCCCAGAGCGAACTAGCATTAGCCGGAGCTGTGGCTGGAAATGAGGGCGTTGCGTACACAAATAAAAGGTTTGTCGTCTTCTCGCTAAATTATTAAGAATATTTAATATCATTTATTTTGCGCATATTCCCTGTAGACAAGCAACACTCACCTTCCGTAATGCTGAAAAAGTGGATAGAGGTTCATGGCATGCAAATACACGTGGTTTACCCGGACGAAGTAGGCGTGATGCCATAACAGTTGTGAGCAATAGCTCCGCCAATGCCATTAATGATGCTGAGACTTTAGAGCATGTGAATATATTGGAGGGCAAATTACAGCGTCATAATGGCTCAGCAAAGAGTGATGAACATGCTATGGTTGCAGAGAAAACGTTGCCACTTAATGCGGTTGATTTTGTACATTCAGAAACTCTCTCTGAACTGGATCGTCAACGCAATCGACGCGATGCTCCGGGTTGTGTAACAAATTACAAAGCTCAACGACGACTGTGGGTGGGTTGCACTGAAGCAGATGTTATTGACGTGCGACCATTGTGCAATGATGATGGGGATGAAGGTAAGTCGATTTCTTATTGCAGGCAAATATATCTACACCATATTGTCTTTAGTTGATTTCTGGTGAATTTGCTATGCGACATTAAACGGTTTTGATTTAGATAAAGAAGTTTTATGCTTAGATATAGAGTTGCGTGTTAGAGTTTTCAGCATGGAGTACTTCGGTGTGACGTAGTTTGTAGCACCATCGCGCATTGGTCCACCAAGAAAGCAAATATTATTTATGAAACTTAGTTCCGTCTTGTTTTGAGCTTTGTATTCGTTACTCATTAAAGACCAGTGTAAACGATGGTGGAAAACAAAATATACCGAGTTAATGGATTTTCATTCGAATTCTAATAACATTAATCAGGTTGTTGTTGAAAATAGGATGAACCATATGGAGAAGGGTATTACATGAGTAGATTTAAGGAAGCATGCAAAGAGCATAGAGCTCAAGTCTTGAATAAGATGTGAGAATTATCTAGACTAAACATTTCAACAAAGTATTAGAGAGTAAGTTAAAGTGTTACGTGGCGTGAAGATACTCCATCATCTGAAAGTCGGTTGCTGTTGTAGCGGTTCGCTAACTCCGCTTAGGCACAGGTTTGTTCAGTCTAAGTCGCCGAGGGCATCTAGTGGTAGGTACAGGAAACGAGCATTATGCTCCTTAACTCGTAGCATAGATGCTTCCCTGTGCAAGTGATGCTCCGGCGACATTAGGAGGTTTCCTGTCGCAGTCCTGAGGGCGGTGTTTTGGCAAGCCTGTAGCTTCTTCATCTGCGTCTCGTTCGTCTCCGGCGTCCAGATCGGTGCAGCATAGTTTACGACCGGCCGGCCAATTGCATTGTAAGTAGCCAGCAAAGTTTCTTTATCTTTACCCCAGGTGCTGCCGGCTAGCGCTTTGAGTACTTCCTTGCGGCTCTGGAGTTTTGCGGCAATTGCGGTCGTATGCGGAGTGAAGGAGTGCAGGCTGTCTAGAGTTACTCCCAATATTTCTGGGTTATTTATCGTCGGAATTTTTGTGTCATCGACCTTTACATCCAGCCTGTATTCCTTCGTCCAGCTGGTGAAAAGGGTAGCCGAGGATTTTGTCGGTTGGATTCGTAATTGTCTTGCAGTGAAGAAGTGGGACAGATCAGCGAGGTAGCCGTTAACTTTCGAGCAGAGGTCATCAATATCCTGGCCGGACGCCATTATCGTACAGTCATCGGCATACGAGGTTAGGGAAACTCCTTCTGGTGGTGGAGGGAGTTTCGATATGTAAAAGTTAAACAGTAGCGGGGAGAGGACACCACCCTGCGGAACCCCCTGTTTAATTTTTCTGGGTTTAGATGTTATACCTCGGAATATTACCGATGATTGTCGACCACTCAGGTAGCCCATGACCCACCTCTGCAACCCCGGCGGTAATGAGGATTCCTCAATGTCCGTTAGTAGCACTGAATGATAAACTGTATCAAAAGCTTTTGACAAGTCCAGTGCTACTAGGACAGTTCGCGTGCAGGGTCGGTTTTGGTTGAGGCCATCGACTATCTGGGTGTTTATGGCGTTAAGTACTGTTGTGGTGCTGTGCACTTTTCGGAAGCCATGCTGATGCGCTGCTGGACGCAGATGGTGAGTGAAGGTCGGGAGCAGTAAGGCCTCAAGTGTCTTCGCTACTGGGGAGAGGAGAGTTATCGGCCGATAGGACTTTGTTGGCTGGTTTTCCCGGTTTAAGTAGCGGGAGCACCCTACCCATTTTCCACACGTCGGGTATCTTCAGGGTGATCAAAGACAAATTGAGGACCCTCGCGAGAAATTCTGCTCCCGCTGGTCCAAGATGTTTCAGCATCAGCATGCTTATTCCGCGGGTCACACGTCGTTTCGCTTTGTCTACCGAGGGATGCAATGTAAAAAGTCGGCTAAAATAGCTCGCGCATCTCTTCGGGTCCGACGAGGCGCGATCACCGAATGAAATTTCCACCCGGTCATCGCGTCTCGTCGGGTTAGACAGCGACTTGACTGTAGCCCAGAGCCTGGTTGCTCCAGAGGAGAGGTTGCAGGTCCTTAGGTGCTCCTCCCACTGAAAGTCGGTCACTGCTATTGGTGGTGCTATAAATTTTCATATAAGTTATTTCATATCTAGAACCCTTTACATCTCTATCTAGTTTTTACTTGGTATCAGCCTTACTTCAGGTTAACACAAAGATATTTTTCATTTTTGCTTTTGTTTGCCTTTTTGTTATATTATATTATGTATATGGAAATCATTAAAGCCTTGTCATTCGTTTTTTGTATAGAATATTCCTGTCACGGTTCATGGTCGGAGAATGGCACCGTCTATATTATAGCACGACATAAAGGTACCAAACATGGTGTTTGTCTCAGCTATAGACCGCTTGAGGGTACAACAGCGAAATTGGTAATCGGCGATGCATGTTATCGTGGCACACAAAAGCCACCTGATCATCATTTAGTAGCCAATCTAACTGTTTTTGGTACGTAATTTTAACTAAAAAGAGTTACGGTGATTTATAAATACTATTGATAAAATGTCCTTGCAGGAAAATGTGGTGAAACTGGTTCGAATGCGCCACAAACGCAGCAAGCAACGCTATTTAAATGGCTTTTTGTTGTTTATACGGTGTGTTTAACGGTAAACGTAGTGAATCAAATCCAAAGAATAAGATGATGAATTTAATCCTGCACTTGAAGATCAACGAATGACAATTAAATGGCTGGAAAATAAGAAAACGAAAACGAAAATAAGGCGGCTCTTGAATTTAGGTTGCAATTAAGCACTTCATATTTAATTGACAAATATGTATGTATTATGTGAAAACGTTTAGCTATACACAATACACAAACACAAATAAGTAGATAAAAAATAATATGTCAATAGAGAAGTGCAAACTTTTTATTTCCTGCAGTATTTATGCAATGAAATGGAAGTTTGCTAAGGACGAAAAGTGAGAGGAACTTGAGCCTAAAGGCGGTAAAAAAAATGAACTCTAAAGTGAAAGCAGCACCCACTTAATGAAAGGAAAGTTAAAGCTTCGACTGTCTGCAAAAAAAAGTGGAGAACCCAAAAAGTGATAAGAGATAAGAGCCTACAAAATTGCATGGGTACTGAATGTTGGACTAGTGTATACCTTTTAAATAAGACTTAGCATTCGTGGTGAGTGACGCCTACACTTACATAAGTTATGAATGAAGCGAATGAGACGCTTATGCGTACGCATCTATTATCGCACATAGGCATGAAAACATACAAAAGTAAAATGTAAATGCAAATACATACATACAAAAGGTGCATACGCACGTCATAAACAAGTTGATAAAAACGAGTTTGTAAATAACTAACGAAATAATTTTCATGTAGCTATTATATTAGTTAAGAAAAATCGTAGCAATAAGCTAATTGAACTTTAAAATGTAGTTTTAGGAAAAAGGAATACATAAATGGTTTGCAATAGAGCCTTAGTTGCGCATGTGTGCGTTTTGTGCTAGAAAGTAAAAAGTACGAATATTATCAATTGGCATTAGATTACGAGTAAAAGGATGTTAGTGTAAAGAAACCAGTTAATAAATGAAATAAACATACATGCATACATAAGTATTAAAGAAAATCATAAAACGAATAAATCAATGATAGAGAAACAAAAATGTATTTATAAATTGAAAGCATACAAACTCGCTCTTATATGCATAAGTATATACACATATACTTATGTATGTATGTAGTTACGAATGTTAGTTAAGCCCTAATCCAAGTAACAAAGTATAATGTGATTGCAGTGAGTGCAGCTTATAGATGGTTCGTGCATGGTTAACCCCATCAAGTACTGTTATACATACGTACCATACATACATGCATATACATACTCATATATATGCATGTGTGTTTGTGCAATGGGTGCCGATTTGTTGTAGAACATGCTTGAATTACATACATACTTTTACATTATATTGTAGAAACTTGTAAATTGCATAAATAATACAAAGATATTGAATAAAAAAAAAAATATATTACAAATTTGTATTTATTGTATAATTAAAAATGTAGTTTCTTAAATCATACACATATATGTATATACCTACATATATATATAATTGTAATAATAAGTACATATATACGAATGTAAGCTTAAAGCTTGTGTATAAAAAAATAATGTCACAGAAGATGGAATTTTGTATGCAATTTTAACTATTATATGACTGTGTATGTATGTACATGCAGCTTAGTGTATATAAATGTATGTGTAATACTTTTTTAAATTGTTTATGATTATACGTATGTATTTATAAATTATTATTTTATTAATTCGATGAAAGCACATTTTTACATGCATATGTAAAAGGTTTTCTTTATTTGTTAAATTTTCTAAAAAAATTTTAAATAAAATTCAACCATTTAAATTTTGGTGTTTATATAAAACAAACTACTGTAGAGTGATTTAATAAATAAACGCAGGGGATGTTATAAATTGACGCTCATAAAATCGTTAGTCGTTAATAGAGACATTGCGCCTGAAACTATGTATAGGCAATTTTAAATCGCTTCATAAATTTATTTTGTTTTTATTTTCTTTTGTGATAGTTTTTTTTCAGGTCTTAAGAGATGAGCGAGAATTTGCTTTTTGTTCAATAAAATATTAGACTCTGTCTTTTTGAAGAATAACTAATCTAGACTATGCTATTTTTAATATTTCCATTTTTGACTTTATTAGTTTAAACAATTGTACGTAATATAGTTTCTCATTTGTTTTTGATGTTTTTCCTTTTAGGATTTAATGGGCAATTTAAATGTTTTCTCAAGCTTGTAATGAATGAGCGTGGAAAGTGAGATTTCATAGGTTTGCTTACACATTTTATGTGAATATACTTGTATTGTATGTAACCTCATCATATCCTGCTAGGTTTTTGTATTATAGCTATAATTGTGCAAGTCGTTTGGGACATTTCGGAAACTTAAGCTACATAAGCTTTTTTCTTTTCTTTAATTACCCCATTTTCAATTTATTTTGGTTTTATTCAATATATTATTATTTTTATATATTTATTTTGCATTATTTATTATTTTTCAAACAAATATGACGATTTATTAAAAGCTTTTCTTAAAAAAAGACGCAGATGAAAAAGAAAAATTTTAAATAATTTATATTTTTATTTGCTTGTTTCATTTCTTCATTTAATGCATACCTTTACTTCATAATTTAAATTTTTTTGTATCGCATTTATCTGCCTCTTTTTCAACAACATTTTTAACCATTTCTCACAAACACTCACCTCTCACATAAGTATGTAAATACTTGTATAATTATTCGTTATGCAACTTGTATGCATTTTATATGCATAAGTATATGAAATTTATAAACACTATTGAATTCGAGGAAAAAAAAATTGTTTCTAAAGTTTATAACTTGCAGTTTCAAAAGCATTATAAAACGAGCCTAATTTGACACAAAGGAAAATAATACACAAATTATAAGATCGGCGACAAATCGCGACTTCGACAAATAACTGGAAAAAAAGAAATAAATTAAAACAAAAATAATAACAAAAGATTTCATTGGTTTCATAAAAAATATGTATGTATGTATTTGTAATTATAAATGAAAAAATCATAGTATGATTAAAACATACAAACTCATAAAACACATTGTATATGAACACGCAAACACACAAAAGCATACATACTACATACATACTTACAAACATACAATATGTAGCTCATAGTTGGACATTTAATGTAAGCTATAATTAATTAACTTTGTCAAAAAAAAAAATTAAAACAAAACAAACAAAAAAAAAACAAAAGTAAATAATAATAATACTAATATTTATGTAAAGTTAATAAAAGATTTGCTAAGGTTGAAAAGCGATGCTAATTATGGAATTATGGATGAGTTGCAAACACGCGTAAATTCAACTAAATGTGAATTAAAATGAATGTATTACCCTGATTTCGAGCATATAATATGCACAAACGTACATATGTATATATGTGCATACATATGCATGGATTAATATATTTGTATGTACCATGTGTTTTTGGCATTTCTAAAAAAGAAAAAACTAGCATAGATTTAGGCGTCTTTAACGGCTCAACATGAGTGGGCACACATCCATGCATTTTGTATTTACATGTAAAAATACATACATAAATACATGCATATCTATGTACATACGTACAATTGTTTGTGCATATTAACATATGTATGTACTGCGTAGGCACAAATGTGTGTATATGATGAAGTGTAGTTATATGATACAATTTAAAAGTTTAAGACAATTGTGCGGTGATATAGGACTAGAGATTATAATTAATAATAAAATGAGAATTATCGCTTAAAATTAGTGTTTAGTATATATATATAAATATATATGTATATATATATATATTTAATTATATGTATGTATGCTTTTAAGCACATTTGAATTAAAAAGAAAACAAAAATGGTTGGTATGTATGCACACATTTTTTACTTTACGAAAAATTTCTCCTTTGTTTACTAGAAATAGCTGATTTAAATCACATTCTAGTAGTATATACATACGCACAAGCGTGTGCACTTACTTGTACATTTAACATCGACGAAGAAAATAAAGAAAATTAAACTGAATACAAAATAATCAGAAGATTTCATTTGAATGTTGGTCTATTTCTTTGAATATCTAGATGGCAATTGTATATTTCATATATATAAGTTAAGCAATTCTATGAAGCGACTATCAGACCCGGACCACAAACAAGTTAACAATAGCTTTATAACTGGCAATGAAATTGAGAGAGTAAGATGTCTTACTCTCCCAGAGCGAGAGAGTTACTGAGGAAATTTCCCCGAGGTTGTGCAACAGCGGTTAAAATTGAATCCGTATTTTTATTTCCCTAAGTGTTTTAATGAAATCGTCAATTATATATTGGTGTATGCATTCTAAGAGAGGGCTCTACTAGCATTATTTTACATCGTGCTCATCTGTGGCTATATTCATTTCAAAGGTACTGTCATTTCGCGTTGTTTTCGGTAGATGTCATTTGTTTTAGCGTGAACAACGATTTGTTTCATTTATTTGAAAATGTCGAAATTTGTACCAGTTAAAGTGTTTTTACGAGGAGTTCTTCTTCATTACTTTAGCATGAAGAAAAGTGCTACCGAAAGCCATAGTATTTTACTGGACGTTTATGGTGACCATGCTTTACCCGAACGAACGTGCCAAAAGTGGTTTGCATGGTTTAAAAGTGGCAATTCCGACTTAGACGACGGACAACCAAAAAAATTTCATGACGAAGAATGAGAGCCATTGCTCGACGCAAATGCATGACAGACGGAAGAAGAACTTGCAAGTGTTAGGACTTTATCAAGCAACCGTTTCCAGACGATTAAAATCATTTTTTCACAATAAAGTCTTGATTTTCGAAAAAAACCGCACGAATTAATGGGTGTATACCCAAAAGCATATTTAATTTATTAATTGTATTCAGAATCTTTTATATTTTAACAATGATGAAATTATTCTACATGCTTCATAGCGTCAAACGGTAAAGATACTAATATGTTTTTTTCTAATATAATATATGTATATATATAATTGGCGCTGTGTAATCGCTGAAGCGATTTTTCGGCCAAGCTCCTCTACCAATTGTTTTGCGTCTTGATATTTTTTACAACAAATGGAGGGACCTATAGCGTATACTTTGCTTATGCTTTTTCTACGAGGAGCCTTTATTTCATGTCCGAAATACACTCGGAGAGGCGGACATTTCCTGCCAAGGGGCGACGTAATTTTTTATTTTAATTAATTTTCCATAACTTTTGGCTGTGGTGGCATCGGGAGATGAACCCGAGATTTTCGAATGTCAGTGCGCAATGTTAACCACTCGGCTACCGCGGCCGGGGAAGAGAAAATCTTGTTTTAAAACAATTTGTCGCTTAGATTTTCAGTAAGTATGACTATAATACCAAAATGAGCTTTTAAGTCTTTTTCCGTGTAAGCCGGTCGTATTGACTCAACATTATTATAGAATTTATTCGATTATTTAGTTTGAATAAAAACAAAGAAAGGCTTTATTTTTCCTTTTAAACGCGATTAATATTACATTTTGTGCATCGTCGTCGCTTCCGGAAGTTCAAGTTTCCATTATCGTCAATGTCACGGTTGCAACATCCTATCTTCGCAATGTATGTGGCTCATTTGATCGACACTTTTTTCTATTGCAGTGAATTTAAGGAAACCAAAAACAATTTTCGTTGTACTAAAAATGATAACATATTC